GACGAAGTCAGCAAAGTCGTCATCCTGAATGATGAGACATGGGAAGGACTGAGGTGCCGGATATGTCCATCATGTGCGACCGCGATCCCCACCTGCTTCTGCTTATGCCTGGAGTGCGAGGCACAACTGATCTCCATCGGAAGATACTACATTCACATCAAATCCGATGACGAGGAGGACAACCAAAACCCCAACGTCTCTGGAGATGCCAGGCGTGCACAGGAAGAAGCTAACCACGATGCGGCAGCACAGGAGGATGAGGACGAAGCGGAGGAAGTTCCGGGAGAAGATGACGACATGGACACGCAAGGATATACATCCGGCTATGCGTCAGAAGAAGAAGACGGCGGTTGGCATTACCGCGACACCGATCTGACGTCACGGGACATTATAAGTTCCCAACGGATGGCGATCTGCCTTGACGAGCCGCGTGAGGCTCAGTACATGGCAGGATTTATCGCACTCCAGCTGTCCAAGATGTGGGGGATGTTTGAAGGTGGTGAGGATAGAACGATGATTGCCAAGCTCGAGGGGAGAGATGGCTGCCCTTACCACAATGACTTCAGGAGGTACCCCAACATCACTGAGCACGATCAGGAAGGTATACTTTTGCCGTCAACAACACTGAAGATTTCTCAATCGGAGAATGTTCGGACAAGGGCCTTCCGATCGGTTGAGGAGCGTGACGAATATATTCGTATGATGGTGAACAAATGCGAGGGACTATACACATTCTACAAGCTGTGGATTGCAGCGAGAATCCTCGATGTCACCAAGGAAGAAATGAAGCTCCTGGTCAAGGACCGAGTGCACCCGGTGGGTGATATTATTTTCAGATGTTTTGCACTAGCTTTCAACTGTAAGTATATATCATTCGTGAGGGATGGCCTAAACCTTGGCAAGCATGGCTACGCGGTCAACGTGAGCGCCATCATCTCGGCCATCGACCCGAACAAATGCGACACACCCCTGCTGGATTGGTGCCTTCGGAAAGGGCACTGGTTGCCAGAGGACTACAACAAGAAGTGTGTCCGGGCACGAGAAGCCCAGAAGAACTTGGACGAGGAGTTCCGCCGACGTACCCATAGGCTGTCCATTGGGGACAGGTATGCTTCGTGAAGATGATGATTGCGGTACGATGTGGGCCAGTCCCCATCTGTTACTTGCGTCACATCGACACTGTTTCGGTGGAACGACTTATGTCATGATTTATATTCATGTGTCCAAGATGATTGGATGTGTACATGGTTACATATTCCGATGACTATGACGCTCTGGATATTCATGGATGGAACTATTACCTTATAGATGATATCTTTTCATTATTTATGCATTGTCCATGGTATCTGGAATGGCTATGATTTGCATTGATTACTCACCGATGTTTCCTTGCCGGAGATATGCAGACCGATCACAAGCGGGCGCGCATGGTGGACATTTGTGGCCAACCCATTTATGGATGACAGCTGCGCGATGCGCAAATGCGGCAGCTGGAATGTTCACTGGCGGTCAAGTGAAGTGGCCACAGTGTATTATATACACCTGCATATGGATGTGTGCTTCGATTGGAGGATGAATGTTTCACTTTTCGTACAATCGAACCCGGCATGTTTCACAGCGAATGAACGGTGTAGTGATAGCAAGTAAAAGAATGCACGACACGATTTCGTAGTTGAAGCCGTGGCCAGTGGAACGTTTTGTGGTGTTTGGACCGCATGATGAACAATGCGACCCAAATGGGGGATGTTAAACCCTCTAGGCCCCGTGCCGAAATTGGGTAGCTGTTCTGAGGTCCTTGTTGGTGTTGCTTCCCAAGTTCCATTGATCGCCATTTGGCTCAAGACACATTTGAGGTTCAAGATCCGATGTGTGACTGCGGATCTCCGTGATTGGCACAAAGAGCAAAACAACCGCTTGCGCCGCAGGGTCAGGACTACTGCTGTGATTATCATTCCTTCTTCCTTACAACGTTTACACGGGTTCGGCTATAACGGCATCGTCCGTATACACCTTTCTACGTGGTTGGTATTGAAGCTTGAGGGTTCGGTGCACAGCGTCCCACGGGACGTCACCTTGCCGTCTCTTGACATAGCACATATAGCACATATAGCAAGGACCCGGGGGAGAGTGGAGGTTCCGCGGCTTGGCGTGTAAGATATAGCACATATAGCACATATAGCAAGGACCCGGCGGAGAGTGGGGGTTCAGCGGCTTGGCGTGTAAGATATAGCACATATAGCACATATAGCAAGGACGCGGGGGAGAGTGGGGGTTCAGCGGCTTGGCGCGGCAGGGTGGCGCACCCGGAGTGCCAAGAACATGTTCATCCGACATGTACTCCGACATGTTGAAGAAATTAAGCGTATAGCAAGGAATCCTGGGGGGAGTTCAATGCAGGGATACTGCAGGGAATCCCTGCATTCCCGGTATCTCTCTCTTTAGAGGGGGTTTCCCAAATGGTTTATATTCTACCTGAGAGGCTCCCAGCACTCGTCCGTCCAGCATTTGACCTCGTCCTGCGAAGGATTCGAAGTCTAAAACGCTGCGTGGAGGCGTGAGGCTGCAAAATAATGACCCCTAGATATGCGCGCAATTTGGCTCCAGGTTGCATTTCAAGCGATGTCAAGCTTTGCCAAAGGAAACCCCTTTTCCCTTTTTTTCGGGGACCCCTTTTTTTGGGACCCCTTGTTTTCTTTTTTTTTTGTGTTTTTCTTAGCCCTGCAAAGGTTGGCTCGCTTGAAATGCAACCTGGAGCCAAATTGCAAGCATATCTAGGGGTCACTATTTTGCAGCCTCACGCCTCCACGCAGCGTTTTAGACTTCGAATCCTTCGCAGGACGAGGTCAAATGCTGGACGGACGAGCGCTGGGAGCCTCTCAGGTAGAATATAAGCCATTTGGGAAACTCCCTCTAAAGAGAGAGTGTCCAAGTTCCCCGCCGAACTTGGACGAACTTGGACAACTGCGGGCTGTCTTGCTACTATCTACCAGTCTAGCGCACAGGTCACCCGCGGATTGTCTCACCCCGTGAGTTTCCAGGCCATTCCCAATCCTGGGTCCTCTTTTGATTTCATGTTCAAGGTCTGACCAATGATGGGATGGGATGGGATGGGATGGGATGGGATGCGATGGTATGGGATGGATAGATGGATGGATGGATCATGTTTGAGTTTCAAAAAAGGTTTGAACACTTGGGTGAGAGCTTGTCTACTGGGCGAGTGGCGTGGACAAGGGCCGAATGAGGCCCAGAGCTGGCCAAGAACCGCGGTCGGGACGAGTAAAGCCCCGCGAACGTGGGGAAACCATTTTTGTCTTCTGGACGCCATTTCTTAAATTTATGGTTTCCCAGGTTGATCCGCAGTTAACATAAGCCACCTCTAAGCCTATAATTTGTGCAAGTTATGACATGCCTGGGCTAAACCGACCATGATGAAGCTTCCTTGACAGTTCCTTGATCCAGTGTGGTGAACTGCATAATTTTTGCCCAGATGAATCAACCAAGGATGCAGCAATCACAGGTTTACATTACTCGCTAAGTGGAACAGAAAGGGTTGGAAGACTTTAATGCACTTGCTGTACTGGCGGTTGTGATGTTAGCTGGCGACTCACACTTTTTCTGGTAGAGCCAACCGCAATGCGGTTTCAGCAGTGTCTTGTCAATGTGAGGCATTTGACAAGGCGGAGGGCCCTGCCCCGAAAAGGATTCTCAATCTGTCTGGCATATGAATTGCAGCAAGATAGTTTTACATTTTCCCGATCTGCCACTTCAGCTTGGCTGCCGCATTTCACACGCGCTAGATGTTGTATGGGGCCTTTCACTGCGCTCTGATTGTTCGCGCACTGTACCTCAGTGTCCAGCAAACATTTAGCCAACCCAGCCACTCTGCGCCTCTGGCCCCTGGCCTTCGAAAAAGTCTTGCGGCCTATTGGCCATCAAAGGGCCAAGTGGCCGGGCTGTCATCTTCTAAATGTAGTGAGCCCTACAAAATGGCCACCTTCCTCAAAAAAGACGGTTTCATGCGAGTTCGCTGAAAAGCCGTTTTGCTTGAATGGACTCCGTTTTTGCTGAGCCTGGGAGGTCCTGCTAATCCCAGAAGCAACAGGGAACAGGGTCGCAGTGGATGAACTCCAGGCGTGACGAGGAAGCATAGGGGAAGCACAAAGTAAAGGTTCGAATTCAGCGATTCCAACAGGCCGACTTGGCAAAGGAGACTAAGTTGAGTTTGGCGGTGCCAAAGTGACATGCATCCCTTGTTTTGAAGCGAGACCGCCGGTCCGAAAGGCAGGCTGCTGAGGGAGTTTTTGTTTTTTTTTGGTGGGGAAAAATATTTCTTTGGGCTGGAGACAGGAACCCTGTCGTGGTTAGAGCCATGGGGCCACTCGGGGGAGTCAAAAGGAGACCGCATCGGCTAAGAAACTGCACAATGGCGCTTCGAGAGATCAACTCCACTTTCATGCTTCTTCATGTCGCGAGTGTATGAGGTTGTGTATGTAGAATCATTCATTTCAATACATTGCGGCTTTGCCACGATCAGATGCACACGAATTTGTTACACACACACAGGCTGCATACGATGCTATCGTCAAACATTATGATTTTTGTGGGATACCGTGGAATGATTGGGCGAACTACAAGGCACTCTGCAAGCAGGGCTGAAATTGTGTGGAGTGACAGCTGAAGCTTTCAATCCCAACTGCACGGCTGGCAGCCTATGCAAATTCCAACAAGTCGTGTTTCTGGATACGGATTTTTCAAGTAATTAAGTCATAGAGCGGGCCTACAGGTATTCGCAACTGCCCACAGGCGGGGCCACTCGGTACTCAATGTACTGCATCCGCCGGTACGCAGGCCGAGGCTGAATTTGGTAAGACCGGACCCGAGCCAAAAAAGAGTTGCTCAGGCGTGTTCGGGCTGGCAACCGTTGTTGGTGAGCAAGAGGATGGCGTCATGCACTGGAAGTCACCCGCATTGCGAGCAATGATTTTCACGTCTCGGCTCAGAGAAGTAAGGGTACCAGCTTTGTACAGCCTGTAGAGACATTTTCCTGCCCTAGCGCTTCCGTTTTATTTTACCAACTTTTTGTAAACGATGCTCGGCCTGATTGTTCACAAAGATTGTGCAGCTTTGGATTGACTTTCGCGAGGGTTGGCAGTGCCAATGTGCTTGTGCTGAGGATGGCCTCCGCATCCCGAACCACTATTGCCTCGGCTGCCGCAGGCCTTGACTGCAACTGGGTCACAAAAGAAAGCTCGTCGTTGATTTCTGGTGCTTTATGTGGGGGTTCCTGCATGGCCTCTTAGAGTCGCGTGTCTTTGATAGTGACTCAGACTCATGCATAATAGTTGTCAGTAGCAGTCACTAGTTGCTGTGGCTCCCCTTTCATGCATCCGAATCACTATACGATTCAACACTACGGATTTTGGGCTTGTGAGGGGGCCAGTGCGAGTTTCAGCTGGGTAATGCAAACTTTTCTTCGAGCACACCACTTGAGAGTTTTTGAAGATGGCACAAGTCTGTGGGCCTGATCTTGGCAAGTACTTGTGCCCTGCGAGGCGTCGCACTCTTCGGCGGAGCAGCTTTCGTGTCTGCGCCTACCACACGGTCTGGAAACCTGCGAGTCATGCTCTCAGCTGAGCTGCTTTTGTACTTTTGTGGTGGAGGGTTTACTCAGTCATGGCTGCGACTTGGTTTGATCGATGCAATTGAATTCATTTGCTTGAATGTGTTGCTCTAGGATTGTTGTTGCTCATCCTTGCTCATTCTTCTTTCCAGAAAATCTCCAAAGCAGCAGGGCAATACACGTTTGATCTGAGCACGGATTGAACAGAACGGGGAATCACCCCCTAGAGGCTGCCTGTGGCACACCGGGCTTTGGGCGCTTTTGGATGTGAGCTGACTCCAAGGCAACCATGTCCGCAGCAACTCCTGCCTCCGCTCCAGTGTCTGGACTGGAGGCGCCTCCAGTTATCAGATGAGCGACCGTGGCTACAGAGTTGAATGATTGGAATACTTTCCAGCAAGGCAGACGGACACAATCCATAACTGCATTTATGCGACTCGAGTTCCACCAAAACGATTCAATGATTTCTGCTCGCCAGGCGAGCACCGCCATGGCGGTGGCGGGCACGGCGATTGCGGCCTTTGCCAGCCGCAAGGTCTGGAGCTTTGGTTTCGGTTTCAGTGGGGTCGAATGGCGACCCTTTGTATCTCAACAGCCGGAGTTTCATTGGAATGTGTCGCACCAAAAAGGACGCTTTTGAGTTGAATGATGGCAGAACGCGTTTCTCGCATGCATGCGCCGCAAAGCTCATATTCATTTGAAGCGCCCAAGGCCAGTGCAGCCAATGTGAAGCAGCAGCTGGTGCGCTCCTTAACCTGAGAGAAGCCAAGCCTGACATTCCAGCCGCACTTCCCTCCATTCTTTCAAAAGATGCTTGTTCTCAGACAATGGCCGAGATCGAACAAATGATGGGTGAAGAAAAGGAGATCAGCCTTGAGAAACATGTCAAGCTCAACACATTCCAATGCAGGTAGCTTTGACGGCCTTCGAGAACGAGCTCGGTGTGCAGGCGCCAGTTGGATTTTGGGATCCCGCTGGCTTCACCGCGGATGGCAGCACCGAGAACTTTGCGCGCAGGCGCCAGACGGAGTTGAAGCATGGCCGAATCTCCATGCTTGCGACTTGATCAACGGTTGGTAACGTCTTACTAACATCTTAGGTCTTGTTGTTTCACAACAATGATGCGAGTAGAACATATTTCTATTTCAGGATTTGGTTTAAGCATTGACATCATTGACCAAGGCTACCATGGGCTACATTACGCCGGAGATCACGGGAAAATTCCCAGGCTATTTGAGCCCTTCCGCAGGCTTGAAGTTCGCAGATGTCCCGAATGGGCTCGCCGCAATTTCCAAAGTGCCCGCTGCAGGGTGGGGTCAGATCTTGGCTTACATGGCCTTCTGCGAGGTGTCCCAGGACCAGTCGGCGGGAACTCCTGCTGCAGCGGGTGACTTCGGATTCAAGGTGCTCACCGCATCCGACCCGGAGGCCAAGAAAACCAAGCTTGCAGCCGAACTTGCGAACGGTCGCCTGGCCATGATGGCCATCATCGGAATGTTCTTCCAGGAGACGTTATCGAACGACTTTGCGTGTGCGATGCAGTTTACCGGTGGGTTCCAAGAGTGTTAGGCTTCAAACGACTTTACGGATGCACTGCATATAGTGATTCACTGGACGATACATGTGAACTTTGTGTTCGGTGTGTTTGCCTCTTTGTGCTTCAGTTTGTTTGCACCAGCCAACGCAAGCCAAAATCAAGTCAAGAGTGAGATGCATGGCTGGCACCTTTCTCATCTCAATCAGTATACTTTGTAACACTGTGCAGTGCAATGCTGATTGCCATTGATTTGTTTGGACCCTCAGGCGTTCTACGGCACGATGCACATGTGCCTAGTGCATGTTGGTCTTAGTCTTTACGTGAAGTACACACACACATACATGTATGTATACAATATATATATATATAGGTATATATATATATATATATGCTCACCCCCCCCCCCCCAGGGCCTACCTTTCCACTTCAAAATGTACAAAACCCTCTTATTTTTAAAGACAGGGGGTGTGAGCATATATACGCAAGAAGTGTGCTGTTGCTGCGTAGCAAGTGGAAACTATTGTTTGGGAAGAAAAGGACACTCATTTGAGGCCTTGTTTGATGTGGTTTGGGCATGTGGTCCTAAAAGGTTGATGATTGTGTGTGTGTGTGTCATCACTGCTGCACTGTTATATCGTCCTGTAAGCATCTGATTTATCAGTAGAGCACTCATTACCTCAATGGCTTGGTTTCTCAATGGCATCAAAGCTGGCCACAGGCTCAAAAAAATGCAAAAACTGCAAAACTCCAGACCAATCAAGCCCTGACCTCTGACTTGCATCTGGGTTTTGCATTTTTTGTATTTTTTGAGCCTGTGCAGGTTTTGGAGCTTCCAGGTTTGGATTTTTTGCATTTTTTGAGCCTGTGCAGGTTTTAAGCACCCAAGGCTCCAAAACCTGCACAGGCTCAAAAAAATGCAAAAAAACCAAACCAGGAAGCCTCAAAACCTGCACAGGCTCAAAAAAAAGCAAAAAAATACAAACATCCAGACCAATCAAGCCCTGACTTCTGACTTGCATCTGGGTTTTGCATTTTTTGTATTTTTTTGAGCCTGTGCAGGTTTTGGAGCTTCCAGGTTTGGATTTTTTGCATTTTTTTTGAGCCTGTGCAGGTTTTAAGCACCCAAGGCTCCAAAACCTGCACAGGCTCAAAAAAATGCAAAAAAACCAAACCAGGAAGCCTCAAAACCTGCACAGGCTCAAAACAATGCAAAAAATGCAAAAATCCAGACCAATCAAGCTCTGACCTCTGACTTGCATCTGGGTTTTGCATTTTTTGTATTTTTTTGAGCCTGTGCAGGTTTGGAGCTTCCAGGTTTGGATTTTTTGCATTTTTTTGAGCCTGTGCAGGTTTTAAGCACCCAAGGCTCCAAAACCTGCACAGGCTCAACAAATGCAAAAAATGCAAAAATCCAGACCAATCAAGCCCTGACCTCTAACATTGCATCTGGGTTTTGCATGTTTTGCATTTGTTTGAGCCTGTGCAGGTTTTGGAGCTTCCAGGTTTGGTTGTTTTGCATTTTTTGAGCCTGTGCAGGTTTTGACGCTGAAACCATCAAAAGCGTTTAAAAAAGTTTTTTTTTTTTGCAGTTTCCTTAAAAAACACTGCACATAACAGTGATTTCACTACTGACAAAGTTGCCTCTGAAAACGCTTTCCGTTTTCGTGTTTGTTGCTTTCTCGAATCCTGTTTTGCATCAAGTACAGAAAGCACATCTGAGACAATATCAAAAATTGCACAAAAACACCGTAAATTACAGTGCTGTCTGCAAGGCATCTGCAAACCAAGTGGACACTGAACATCTACAAATAAATCTCTGTCATGCAAAAAGTAGAAAGGTAGGCCCTGGGGGGGGGTGACCATATATATATATATATATATATATGTATATAAAGTACACGTGGAAACGTATCTTGGTGCTAGGCAAACACTTGTGCTTGTGCAGGACGGCTTGACTGGCAGCGCCTGGGGTGACTGGGCCAACTACACTGCTTCCCCTCTGCGAGCTTTCGAGAACGAGCTCGGCGTGCAGGCGCCAGTTGGATTTTGGGATCCCGCTGGCTTCACCGCAGATGGCAGCACCGAGAACTTTGCGCGCAGGCGCCAGACGGAGTTGAAGCATGGCCGAATCTCCATGCTTGCGACTTGATCAACGGTTGGTAACCTCTTACTAATATCTTACGTCTTGTTGTTTCACACAATGATGTGAGTAGAACATATTTCTATCTCAGGATTTGGTTTAAGCATTGACATCATTGACCAAGGCTACCATGGGCTACATTACGCCGGAGATCACCGGGAAATTTCCGGGCTATTTGAGCCCTTCCGCAGGCTTGAAGTTCGCCGATGTCCCGAATGGGCTCGCAGCAATTTCCAAAGTGCCCGCTGCAGGGTGGGGTCAGATCTTGGCTTACATGGCCTTCTGCGAGGTGTCCCAGGACCAGTCGGCGGGAACTGCTGCTGCAGCGGGTGACTTCGGATTCAAGGTGCTCACCGCATCCGACCCGGAGGCCAAGAAAACTAAGCTTGCAGCCGAACTTGCGAACGGTCGCCTGGCCATGATGGCGATCATTGGAATGTTCTTCCAGGAGACGTTATCGAACGACTTTGTGTGTGCGATGCAGTTTACCGGTGGGTTCCAAGAGTGTTAGGCTTCAAACCACTTTGCGGATGCACTGCATATAGTGATTCACTGGACGATACATGTGAACTTTGTGTTCGGTGTGTTTGCCTCTTTGTGATTCAGTTTGTTTGCGCCAGCCACCGCAAGCCAAAATCAAGTCAAGAGTGAGATGCATGGCTGGCACCTTTCTCATCTCAATCAGTATACTTTGTAACACTGTGCAGTGCAATGCTGATTGCCATTGATTTGTTTGGATCCTCAGGCGTTCTACGGCTTTACGGCACAATGCGCATGCATGTGCTTAGTGCATGTTGGTCTTAGTCTTTGCGTGAAGTACACACACATACATGTATGTATACAATATATACATACAAATATAGGTAGATATATATATATATATAAAGTACACGTGGAAACGTATCTTGGTGCTAGGCAAACACTTGTGCTTGTGCAGGACGGCTTGACTGGCAGCGCCTGGGGTGACTGGGCCAACTACACTGCTTCCCCTCTGCGAGCTTTCGAGAACGAGCTCGGCGTGCAGGCGCCAGTTGGATTTTGGGATCCCGCTGGGTTTACCGCGGATGGCAGCACCGAGAACTTTGCGCGCAGGCGCCAGACGGAGTTGAAGCATGGCCGAATCTCCATGCTTGCGACTTGATCAACGGTTGGTAACATCTTACTCATATCTTACGTCTTGTTGTTTCACAACATTGATGCGAGTAGAACATATTTCTATCTCAGGTTTTGGTTTTAGCATTGACATCATTGACCAAGGCTACCATGGGCTACATTACGCCGGAGATCACCGGGAAATTCCCAGGCTATTTGAGCCCTTCCGCAGGCTTGAAGTTCGCAGATGTCCCGAATGGGCTCGCAGCAATTTCCAAAGTGCCCGCTGCAGGGTGGGGTCAGATCTTGGCTTACATGGCCTTCTGCGAGGTGTCCCAGGACCAGTCGGCGGGAACTCCTGCTGCAGCGGGTGACTTCGGATTCAAGGTGCTCACCGCATCCGACCCGGAGGCCAAGAAAACTAAGCTTGCCGCCGAACTTGCGAACGGTCGCCTGGCCATGATGGCCATCATCGGAATGTTCTTTCAGGCGATGTGGGCTAATATTTTTTTGTATGCTCATGCATGCTTGCGGAGTCAAAGCTGGTGAGGATAACAACCGCATCATACACAGCGTGCAGTTGTAACATGCATGATATAAAACTCTATATGCATGTACTTATAGATACACACACACACACACAGAGTGTTCAATCTTAGGTGCAGATTCCTGTTGCATGTTTTTGTACTGTGCCAGATGTTGCCCTGCTTGCAAGCCCAGTCGCAAAGACAAGACAGATGATCGGCTCTTGCTTTGTTTGAATCGG